AAGGATCCTAATTGACTGGACCTGCAGACTTATTGTGGTCAATGTCTTTCAGAGCTTTATAAACTTGAGCATCTGGAATAGGATTAAAATGAAACAAATCCAGATTTCCATCAATATCAGTAGAGGTAAAACATGGTACAGATATATTTATATTTGAGCTATCAAATACAGACTCAGCATAGATAAAGTGTTTATTAAACTGACTGACCATAATGGCTTTGTCCTTTATTTCCTCTGAGCCAACCAGAATGTGTTCAGGGAGGCTTGAAGCGACAAGGGAGGCTTGTGTATCTGACAAGGATTTAATTAATTTCCAGAATTCTGAGGGGTTATTTAGAGTCTCTGTAACTGACTTGAGATAAAACTCTGATTTGGAATTTCTGATCATTAAGGTAGACTTATTTCTTAAAATTCTAAATGCAGTCCAATCAACAGAGGAGTTTGAAAATCTAGCTTGGGCCCATGATTTATTTCTTAAACAAATTAGCTCTGAAAGACTGTCCGAGAACCAAGAATTGTCCCTACCACTGATCCTAAACTTCTTAATGGGAACATGTTTATTAGAGATAGATAAAAAGATTGAATGAAAATATTTCCAGGCCAGTTCAACATCCAGAATCAGAGTAACTCTGATGAGATCACTGTTGCACAAATCATGAAAAAAAAAGCCTGCCCTTCAAAGCTTTAAAAAAATATCTTTTAAAAATGAAACAGGGCTTTACCTTGGGGATTTTTGTATTCCTGACGCAATTGCACAATGATCACTAACATCGTTGCAAAATATGCCAGTTATTCATTATAATTAAAATCAAGCAAGGTAGATTTATTTTGTACTTTGGTATTTGGCCTTGTTGGTGCATTGATGAGTTGAACAAGGTTTAAGGAGTCACACAGTTCTTTAAAATAATCTGAGGTCCCTGAAAGCCAATCCCCCAATTTAGATCACCTATAAGGATGAACTCAGTCATTTAATTCATGTAAAATGTCTGAAATAGATTTGAAAGAATCCTTTGAGGCAGGCGGGGGTCTATATCTGCCAACCACAGTGATATGAGAATCCTTTGATACACCCACTTTGATGGCCAAGACCCCAAACTGTTTATCTTTAGTGATTGACAGAGTTACAAAACTAATAAACTTGGATTTAACATACATGGCAACCCTGCCTCCTTTACCAACCCGATCAGTTCTATAGACTTTCTAAAATCAATAAAAATTAAGTCATCAGTTACTGATTTCTTTAGCCAAGTTTTGGATAGAACCATTATAGCGTTTGTTGTATTTGCCCAGATCTTGATCATATCCATTTTAGGGACAAGACTTCTAACATTTAAATGTATAAAACCAAGTCCTGTTCTACTTTTTCTGAGGGGATAAACATTGCATACAGGTAGTAGGCCCAGGATTGGGCTGAACATTTCCAGACAGCATCAATAAAAACATAAGCATATTTCACAGTTTTGGTTTGAAAATGATTTATCATTGGTCAGAAAATGATTTATCAGAACTGTCATCACCTGCAAACTGCGAGAAAGAGTCTTCTGAGACGGTAATATAGTCATTTAACGGCATTAGATTCTGAAGATACAGGATCCCGTTGACTTGCACTTGAGCGTGGTAAATCTTCAATTGATGAACGGACTGATGATATAATGATATAACTCAATAATTTTTGGCGGAGAAGTTGAGATAGTCTGGAGTATAACAAGTTGAATTCACTCTCCCTGTTGTGCCCATTAAATTCATTTAATCCAGGAACGCACTGAATAAGCATCAAGAATCTAAAAAAATACATGTCATCTTAAATGCTGTTTTGTTAAGGACAGACCAGGTAGCAATGTAGAAGTCTTAAACTAAGCAGTGGAGATGGTTAAATCTGCAGACCAGGAGAAACATGATCATTTCAGCTCATCCAGGGTCTACAGCTAATTCACAGCCAGTATGCTACAAGGTCGTACTCCGAAAGCAAAAGGGAGTCCTTAATTCAGGTTTAAAATAGAGTGGATAAACCACTAAGAGTGGAATCTGCACAAAAATAGCAGAATAGTGAAAGTCTGGTAACCACTGTACCACTTAGAGGATCCATGAAGTGCTGCTTTATCACTTCATGCTCCCATAGGTGCTGTAATCCAGCAGGTGGGTTCCATTTACATTTACAGCATTTGGCAGACGACTTATCCAGAGCGACTTACAATTATCTCATTTATACAACTGAGCAGTTGAGGGTTAAGGGCCTTGCTCAAGGGCCCAGCAGTGGCAGCTTGGTGGTGCTGGGATTTGAACTCTCAACCTTCTGATCAGAGGTCCAAGGTGGATTCCAGGTAGGCCTAGATTTAGAGTCCTGTGCTAATCCAATAACATCTAATCAAAATATATCATCCAGAGATCCTGGACTGAAGGAACGATATTGTCTTTAGTAGTTGCCACTAATTCAGGCCCAAATGACATGAAATATCACACATAAAACCATAAGTCAGACCTCAGATACTGACACACAAACAATGAGCTGACTTGGCTGCCATCTTGGAAAACGAGACGTGAAAATGTGGTCTTAAAGGGCTTAAAATGTCTTTCTCTGCTGTTATACATTTTTATTGGTTATTTAATGAGATTAAGAGATTGCTTGATGAAAAACAGTCAGATAAAATCTTATGAAACGAAACAGTATTCCATCTTACAGAATAATGAAGTTCAAACTGTTTCACCACTGTTCGAAACTTTTACAGTGCTTTCTACATGTCTCAGGATTTGGATAATGTAAATTTGAAGGAACCTTGTAACACTGTGTACAAAAACAAAACAAAACTAAGGACACCTTGTCAAAATGTGCATTAAAAATGGTTACAGAGGTCAAGAGAGAAATCTATTACTGTTTAGGCTAAAACACATTTAAGTGTGTTCAGTAAGGTTTTAATAAAGAAATGTACATTTAAGAAATGAGAAGCCTGCAAATGTATACCCTTTGAATACTTTTTGAATGTATAGTCTTGCAACTCTCATCTAACAGCTCAGTTTGTGTGCTGATGATCAATACTTCTAAAGAGGTCTTCAGATCACAAAACCCAAAATGACTTACTGCTGCTTTAAGTCACTGGTTCTTAAAGTGGCAACTGTGAGGCACAGCCAGGGGTCAATGATTGAATTTTTTCACAACACACTGTTATCAAAGATATTATATAACTTGAATTGAATTTACTCCAGATCTCAATAACTCAAATAAATAAATAAATAAATAAATAAATAAATAAATAATTAATAAAAAACCATAGATGTCCTATATCAATACCATACCATCAATACATCAGTATGTCAATAATGCCTATAAATAATGTCAACCTGGACCTAATGAAAAGTTGTTGTTATATATATATATATATATATATATATATATATATATATATATATATATATATATTAAATGGCCAAAGTAGTATTATACTCAATTAAATAATGAGACTAATATGTCAATAATTTGAATTATATTATAATTCATAACAATATCATATAAATATGTGGAATTTATTTTATATAGTTTGAGAACAGTTGACAGACTTAAACACTAAAGACTTTTATTGAGAAAACAATCACTTCCGGTGGAGCGTATTGTCAGTTTCCTAACGTTCCTCTTTTCACCCTGTTTGTAGCAGCAAAATCTGGTGCTGAGTTGTTGATAGTGCTGCTTAGGCTATATGAGACTATAACTGCGTTAATTATTATTATTTTTTTGAAAATTAGTTGGTTAGAAACCTCCATGTTGTGAGAGAGTAAGAGTAAAGAGTAAAGAGTAAGAGAAACAGAGTGAGAGTGAGAGAGAAAGAGAGTGAGAGAAGGTGTTGAGTCGTCAGGACGCGCTGTCTCGATGCGGAGTTGGATCAGGTGTTAATATCGAAACATTTTTCCATCCCCACGGTGCCGGAATGAGCTTTTTCGGTTTTGGTCAAAGTGCTGAAATCGACATAGTTTTGAATGACGCTGAAACGCGGAAGAAAGTGGAACACAAGACAGAAGATGGGAAAAAGGACAAGTACTTCTTATTCTACGACGGCGAGACGGTTTCTGGCAAAGTCAACATCACGCTTAAAAACCCGGGGAAGAGACTGGAACATCAGGGCATTAAGATCGAATTTATCGGGCAGATCGGTGAGCAACACTTCCTAACATTTGTCCTTTCTAAACCCTGGCATACTCTAACAGCAGCACAGGCTTTAACCGGGCTGAGACCGCGCTCGAGTCTCGCTGCATGTGCACGGGTGATGACTTGCTCAGTACATGAGCTCTGTGGGGTCTGATGTGTTTGCAGGTGGATTAAAGATGGAGGTTTGCTGAATTCAGTTAGATGTTGTTAAGATGCCTGCTGCTGTCTCGTGACATGTGACATCCGGGGAAAAGAAAGAGCGCGCTATGATTACTCGGCCTTTGGCCTGTGTCACGTGACGACTGGCTTCTTCCTCAGTGTAGCAGCATTTCGGCTAATAAATACAACTCACTTGGTAACACAGTTAAAAAATACAGTATATATAATAATATATAATATTAAGCACTATATAAAGTGTTTAATATTACAGAGCAAAGTCTTTTAAGTCGAATTACCGTGTGTATTGTGCATTTGTGCATGTAAAGGACACTACAGTTTACTGGAGATAGACTGATAGATATCTTGACCAGTCATATTTTTATTAGATAAAGACAGCTGTAGCTACACTCATTGGTCTTTTTTTAATCCTAAACTATCCTATAGACACACTGTATAGGTAGATTTTTATACATTTAGTCACTGTTGCCCAAACATCACAGTCAGAGGACCACCACAGGGCCACCTTCTTCTTCTTCTGGCTGTTCCTGTTAGGGGTCTCCACAGCAGATCAGTAGTCCACATATTTCGATTTGGCACAGTTTTTACCCCAGATGCCCTTCCTGACACACCCGTCCCCAATTTTATCCGGGCTTGGGACCAGCACTGGGAATGCACTGTCATGTGTAACCCCAGTAGCTGGGCTTGGTTCCCTGACCGGGAATCAAACCCGGGCCGTGGCGATGAGAGCACCGAAGCCTAACCACTAGTCCTCCAGGAACCGACCGCAGGGCCACCTCTGACTAGATAATAACAGGGTGAGGTACCTTTCTCTGCTCAGCAGTGACAGTGCTGGTATGAGTGTATACGACAGAGCAGTGTTCTTCTGATTTTTTTAAATGCCCCAATATGACTGCCGATTTGCCGATTCCAGCCAATAGCGTCCTCCAATCAGAAACTGACACACTGCGTAAGGAGAAATCTGAGTGCAGTCTTCAACTGTACCCTAACAGGTTAGGTGTGTGGAATAAAGAGGCTGTGCACAGTGTGTGTAAAAGCCTAACAAAGCCGCTTCATCTAACACACGTATACCAGTGCAGAATTCTACCCAAATAATGTCTTAATAAGCCAAGGTGTTATGATTGTTTCCACTGATGGTTGGAGTAAAAGAGGGCTGACAGATTTAAGAGCCACATATGAGATACAATCAGTAATTTTATACCTACAAAGTGTAAGTTAGGTGTACTAATAAAGTGGCCGGTGACTCTGTACGTCTTTGGAAAGATTTAGGGCCCATGTACACAAAGAATCTTAACTTACCAGGCCCTAAAGTGGCAGTAAAAGTTTTAAAAGAGGAAGAATTCCTAAAATAAGAGCAAGGGCTGGGTCGACCCCATTGCTACGGACAATGGCGTGTTTAATGAATGAATATTTACATTTACTGGCTGATGTGATAAGGGTCTGTGTGGTCTTCCTAAACCATATCCCAATACATGTTATAAATAAATACAATTCATACAAAATTTCATATTTGCAGTTTATCTTCGTAGCATTATTTTCATGTTGCTCAAGTAGTGGAGACTTGTGTAAAATCTGAGCAGTTCTGCATTACTTAATAGAGGTGACTGCCCTTATGACTCCATCGACATATTCCTGCAATCTACACGATACGTTTTTTCAAGCTTGTTGTCATTAAAAATATCAAACACATAGACTATAGACACTTTATTACTTCATTAAATCACTTTTAGGGTTGTTTGTGATTTTGAGGCTTCTGGGAGTACTTCTAAGCTTTCACAGGCTTATAACCTGCTTTCAGTGCTAATTACACTTAATTAAATTAGGAGGTTTAAGTTTAACAACAAATTCTTAAGAGTTTCTCCTAACTCGGCCAGTTAGGAGGTAGATTTAGCCTTAGCCTAGTATTCTGTGTGAATACAGCTCACTTGGGAGAAGCTTGTCCCTCACACAACCTCCTTTGAAAAGACAACACATGCATAATTCACTAATTAGTAGTGACACATTTTCCCTTTTTTCCTTTGCTTCCTATTTTGTATTTTCAGAGTTGTACTATGACAGAGGGAACCATCATGAGTTTGTGTCTCTGGTGAAGGACCTGGCTCGGCCGGGTGAGATGAGCCAGTCTCAGACATTTGACTTTGAGTTCACGCATGTGGAGAAACCGTACGAGTCTTACACGGGCCAGAACGTCAAACTCCGGTATGCATCTGCAGTAGTATTTACAGAATGTGTCTGTAATTTATAAACACCAGAGGATTAGTCATGTTGAAGTATTTCATTTGCATAGAGTTTAAGTTATGATATTTCTATCTAACTCTTCAATCTATCATACTGTACTTCAGCTGAATTTTTTTTTTTTCTTTCATTTCAAAGCTATTTTCTAAGAGCGACTGTCAGTAGAAGACTAAATGACATCACTAAAGAGATGGACATTGTTGTGCACACACTCAGCACATATCCAGAGCTGAACTCCTCTATTAAGATGGAAGTTGGGATTGAGGACTGCCTACACATTGAGTTTGAGTACAACAAATCCAAGTAAGTTTCTAAATTTGTGAATCATGGAATCAGAAAAAAGTGGTCTATATACTATACAGGGAAACAACTTCTCTGTAATATGATCTGGTGCAAACGAGTTAGCTCGCTCTGTAGCTGTCACTTACTGTTCCTCAGATGTGGCTTCCCTTAAAGCTAGAGCGAGCTAGTAATTTAAAGGGGCCACAATACCATCACAATATCTACAGTTTAGCCACGGCGTTTACGATTTTGGACCCCTTGCTACAGCAGATACATGAAAACTACTTTTCTGCTTAGATCATATGTGAACCAGATCATACGTCTGGTGAAAATTCACCAGAAAGCCAATTTACTGAAGAGGAAATGACACATACAGTCACGTTACTTAATGTGCTAATTAAATATGTAATGTCTTTAAACTGATCTACAAAAAGACAGTTAATCAACAGTAAATATCTAGACAGTTTATTCTCATATGCAACATTTTTTTGTAACAATTGTAAAAAGCAAGGTTGTCAAACTCATTTTAGGGCAACTCAGTCCAATGTCAGGTGAGCCAAAAAAAAACAAAAAACAAAAAACAGTTTGATAACCAATAACACATCAACAACTCCTCTTAAATATGTTCATTTATTGCCATTTATCTGAAAGGTACATTCTGAATGCACAACCAGATTGAGCATACATCATCAACAAAACATTACCAAAAGCTCCTACCAAATATATACAATACCTTGCATAAGTATTAACCCCCCCTGCATTTTACAGTGATACAACCTGGAACTGAAATATACTTAATTGGATTTATGTCATATACCATGAATCTTCATAAAAATGGATCATAATAATAGAAAAGTGTGTGTGTGAAAGAGACAGTTACAGTAAGTTTATGGCCCTGAGTTTATTGCTCTACTTTGCCCCCTAGTGGAATAAGAGAGACTAGCTCTTTTTCATATATGTATACTCAGTTATGTCCACAAGACGATTTTAATTTACACCACGGTTTCCTAATTCAGTTGATGGTGGGTCAGATTAAAACCATTATCCTGCTCTATGTTTAACACCCCTGGTATAATGTAAGCTTATATACTCACGTGTTTGCTTATAAATCCGTAACAATCTGCAGATTACAGTTGAATATCAATCCCAATACACGTTTCATCATTTATGTTCGCAATGTTGGCAGCTCTGCAGTACGATTCGATTTCAGATTATTGGCACAAATCTAGGTATCAGATCGACAGGTGTGATGTCTACACTTGAATATTTACTACTCCTCATTTATGTTATGAAAAGATGAACAGTATGTAAGTAATTACACATGTTCTGAGTAATTATACACATACCCACTTGTCTTTTAGATACCATCTCAAGGATGTGATAGTTGGAAAAATCTATTTCCTTCTGGTTCGGATTAAAATCAAGCATATGGAGATAGACATCATTAAGAGGGAGACGACAGGAACAGGGCCCAACGTTTACCATGAAAACGACACCATTGCAAAGTACGAAATCATGGATGGAGCACCAGTCAGAGGTACAGAGCAGCGGACGAAGCTGAATCCTTCTCAGATTTAGAAATATTTGTTGCCACTATTGCAGTCACATTTAATGTTAGAGTAATGTTTTGCGCTTAATGAAGATGTGCGTAACATTTTATTACTTTTCTTAGCTGCATGGTTAGCTGATTGCATGTATTTATTGTTTATACAGTTTCCATATTGCCAACGTACAAATTCTAACTCTTAGTCTTGCTTCAATCATTGAGCAATATGTCAGGATGTGAGATGATGGACAGTTAAGCCTCCAGAAAATAATTACAAATCAAAATAATACAAAGGGCTGCATCTGATACTGTCTTGTAACTTGAAAATAATGTGATAGGTTTATCATATAACATCAGTGTATTTGCATCAACATACCAGTTTGGAATTTAATGCATCAGTATTTGCAACAGTACAGTACTTACACCTTAAAAGCATCTGACAGGTTCTCTTTCTCACCCTTCAATCTTTTTATGTTCAGGTGAATCAATCCCGATCCGACTCTTCTTGGCTGGCTATGAAATGACCCCCACAATGAGAGACATCAACAAAAAGTTCTCTGTTCGCTATTACCTCAATCTGGTGCTCATTGATGAAGAGGAGAGACGTTACTTCAAACAACAGGTACAGTTTGTGTTTAAATCTCAGTCCAGGTTTTGACAGTAATTTTTAGATCTAGGTGGCTTCCAATGTTAAGCTTGAAAATTGCCTAAACTTTTCACAATATCACAATATTGTTTTACAAACCAAGGCTTACTTGGGCTTTATTAACTAAAATAAATTCTCAGGTACTGAAATCGAAACACTCTCCACAATTTGGAGACAAGTCTAGTGCTGCATCTTAAATGGCTTTGTGTTTTATATCATTTTAGTGTTTAGTTTGTTCTAATGCACTAAAAATTAAATATAGAATCTTGGACAATTTCTGCACTAAATGTCCCAGCCTCCTCTACATAGTGGAAGGGGCAGAGAGACAACACACATGCACACACACACACACATGCACATGCATGCCCACACAAACATACAAGAATGATGCTATGTGGTATTTTGTCATGTCTATTAGGTGCAAAACATGACGGTTTGATTTTACTACCGTAAAAAATAGTGCATACTCAAGTTCATGGTGTATATTATTATATAGTGCATTTATACCACAGCGCTGCTGAGTTGTCAATCTGATTGGTCAGAATTCTAATAGTAAACAGATTTTAAAAACATTTTATTTTATAGAGAAAAATATATACTCGTTGATATGGTGAAGTTTTCTGTGAGGAGATATTGTCTCCAGTGTCAGCTTAAAGCTTTTGCTTTAAGTTTTTTGTCACTGAAAAGGATGGCATGAGAATGCCCTTTGCGATTTATTGGTAACATGACGAACTGCTTTTTTTTTTTTCTCTTATTAACTTAAAAAGAGATTAAAGAGAGTGGGGGAAAAAAGAGAGACTGGTGAGTTTATGACTGTTTATAGCTGCTATAATGTGAACATTAACAGGAACTACCTTGCTTCACAGATGTTCTACAACAGTAAATATAACTATAAACTGGTAAAAAAAAATGATGTCATTCTTTAATTTCTAAATGAAAAAGTAGTTGCTGTTGTTAAAGAGTAATAAAATCCTTGGGTATGTGTTCTTACTGGAAAATAATAAACTTCTGGCCACATCGGGCCACATCACACCACCCTGTTAATTATTT